ACAAACACCAGCAAAGCCTGTTAGATAATTTTATTTCACGTATTTCTTTTACTCATAGAAACTTGACCACTTAATTGCACCACTACCGAAATTTAGGAGTGAAAATTGAAGAAATGTTTTTAAAATGAAATCTAAAAGCTGAATATCACCATTTGAGCGCTTATTTTTACAGAACGTTAGTAAAATAAACTGATTACAAGATGTTGCCAAAAACTATTAGCTTTTATATTTATGTATTTTCTTTCGTTGTTCTTGTTCTCGTACGAGTGTGACACAATTTCATTTTCCTTGCTGCCTGATTACCCTTAAAGATGCCATCTATGACGCAAAATGTTGAGCAATTTCTATGCAAAATGTCTCAACAGCAAACTTACGCATACTTTATACCTAAATTGGATTAATGCGCCGGCCGCCCAAAACATGTTTGACATACACCCAAGAGTGAACAATTCACAGGAAATGGAGACAATTTGAACCACGGAACTTATTTTCAACATCTGTTTTTCCTCTTAACCCCCCCCCCCCCGCTAGTCATTTTTATTAATTGCTTGGCTCAATAATTATAAATATATAAGCCATTCTACGTTCACTACCTCATCATGGTACATTATCCTAGCGTATATGGCTTTGGGACAGACCTGGCGCAGCTAATGCAGAAGTGTTTGGTGGCGAAATTCTGTTTTGTCATGCAGACCTCCTCTTGCTTATATCCTATGTTAATCTTGTTGGGTGGTTGGCATGGCTGACATTTATATTCTGTGGATCGGTTGGATGACCTTGTCTGTCAGCAAACCATGCGAATGATCCCCACCTTTTGTGTCGGGAGCGAAAAGAAGGATGCCCTTAAAAAGGCAGTAAGTTTCTCCCGTAGGGCGAATAAGTGCTGACCTTGACTACTTTCAGCACATGATTTGTAACCAGATTTAGTCATGTTCTGTATTAATCCGTCAAGTTTTGTTCGTGAGAGACATGATGACGCCACAAGACATGCAATTGTTCTATCGTGTCTCATACTTTTGATTATTTGCCTCGAATTTGTTGAAGCGGTCTCTTATGTCTGCTTCAACAAAATGTTGTCTATAGTTGCCATGGTTTTCTGACCGGTAAATGACTGTACCGTGGTTATGCGCTTTATTTTTTACCGAGGAATACCCTAAGCTGCATAGCAATTACAATATTAGGGGATATCAGATTTTAGGAAATGGTATGACCATCCCATTTAAAACGTGAAGCAAACATCCCAAACTTTAAGTTATGATATGTGAACAACAAAATGTAAACGGGTGCCTTTCCTGCAGCTACAAAGGCAAGCAGCAAAACCGGTTTTGTGGCCATCTCTAAGTTATGCTAAATTTGGAGAAGAGAGAATGCTTTGTGGAGCACTGCCCTCTATCGCCTTTGATGGAGGCTAACCAAGACGACCATAATAATTTGTTCAAAGTGATTTCAGGGGCTTTGATTTGATTTGATGATTTGTGTGTTGTCAGCTTTGTCTGGTGTCAACAAGCTGACACAAGCAAATTGAAACAAAATACAAGTTGAAATCAGCCATGTATAAGCTTCATCATGTTTCTTTATCACAACTGCTGATGACACAAGAAATGGATGAGGTGCGTTGAGATGATATTCAACGTATGGGCTTCTCAAAATTCGGTGAAGGTGGTTAATTGCATGACAAGTGGCAGTAAGAGTTTTGCAAGAATTTGTGATCTACAAATGCTGCTGTGATACAAATAGGTTAGACAAGGTGAGATAAGATGAGGCTTCTTTAGATTAGGCTTGGTTAGGCTACTTTCATGGAAATGAGCATTGGTATTTTTCAGAAACAATGACGTAATATTTGCATTTCCTTACCTCATCTTAACAGAAGCTGGAGGTATGCTTACTGTGTTTGATTGGGAGATTCGTTGATGTGCAATAGTTCAAGGCCTTTTATTTGAATGTTTTATGCCTGTTGATTTTTGATATTGCTTTTCCTGCTCAGTTCGTTTGCTTTGTTTTGTGTTAAAAAGTCCTGTGGATAGAAAGTACAAAAAAAACAGCATCGAAACATTAGCGTTCCATAGAGTTTTATGCTCGCCACACCATTATGAACTTACTATTCTTGGATGCATTCTTCTTCTCTGCATTGACCTAAAATGCTATAAATTTAAAAGCAGTTTTGTTATGTTCATGAGATTACATCTTCGTCAACTCAAAATGCTTGTCTCTGTTTGTTGGAACATATCTTGCTGACTTTAAGCTCCACCCTTTGTGAGCTGAATTCTTCACTCTTGCACGGTCTTTTTGCGATGAAATTTTACATTCCCACCCTAGTTCAAAAACGATTCTAGCCCACTGGTTTTGAACCACAGCCAATATGCAAGTCATGAGGGCCATGAGCACATCGTTCCCGCTCCTCAATCAAGTCCTAAAGCGTGTTTTGAGGGGATGCAGTTTAACCCGTGTACAGCTAGAACGAAGTACCCCTATTCCCATCCTTCCTCTCTCCAATTTTCTGCAATAATTTTCGATCTCTGCTAGTTAGATTCACTCAATGCTCGGTACCTGACAACTGTTGATTGGACGGATTGTAAAAAAATCTTTCGGAAGGTAGGCCAGGTCACTTAGGTATGACATCGCCACTGCTGGTTTGCAGCAGCGACTTTTGCCTCTACATGCATCAACCCTCGCCTTGCAGAAGTTGTTTTGTGCTAATTTCCACCGCTACGGAGGACTTAAGGTACGATTCTAGATAAGAACCTTTTAAGATCTCCAAAGCTAAACAAGCTAAATTCACCTAAAATACAGCATTAGAAAGCTCTTATCAAACTGAATGAAATAGGCATATATGATGAACTGTAAACCTGACCTTGGAAAGGTCAAACCGGGTGAAAATGGCTAGATTAGTACTTTATAGACGCCTCCTGTTCTCTCAAGGAACTAAGCAGGCCAAAAAAGTCCAAGAAGGCGTTGAATAGCATTTGTAAACTTTATCAAATTGGCATTAGTGTACTTGAACACATGTGGCCTGTGAAACATGCAATGCCATGTCAAGGAGGTAAAGGCGATTCTTGCATTGGCATGTCCGGCCATATCAACAATTAAACAAGTCCAACTGAAGGTGAGAGCATTCATGATGAAGACATGATAGAGAAAATGCTTCATCCAACATCTACATGATGAAGACATTCACAAATTTTAAGACATGTGCTCTAATGATTAAATTGCACGATATTCAAGCGGTCAAATTTCATCATTAAGTTCAAGGTCGGACCTAACTTAACCTCGAAAACCCTGAATTGAAAAAATTGCCATGTTGATTGCGTTGCGCTTTAGAGAAGTAAATAAAAAAACGAATGCAAACAAAAAGAGGAGTACAAACATTCTGTTCAGAGTGCAGTTCCTGTAAGTTTGCGCATCGGTCGCTTTTGAGACAAAATTAACCGGGATGATCTCAAGAAAGTGGCCAGAGATCCTGAACCGTTGGAATGAAGACCTTTGATTTTTTCTAGACGTTTGAAAAAAACCTAAGCTTGGATAGCCAAAATTTCAGTGTTTCTCTAAGCCTTACAATGCTTATTCCCGAAAAATTGTTATGGCACGCTTTGGATCCACCTTCCCCCTCGTAAAGTGAGAGTTAATTCGTAGTTCCCTTCGTTGCCCTGGGTGTGTTTCATGTAAATCATCGACTACTTTAACCTGACAGTTGGTGTCAGTCGTACTGAGCGAGATTACACCAGGTCTTGATCGAAGTCTGTTTGGGATCAACTCATAATCGTTGAACTAAAATGACATGCTTCGTTCATTTGTCAAAAATAAGAGACCTAGAACAAGACACACATTTTGTTCATCACTGTTCATCGTGCATCTTGTTCATCGTTCTCGTTGCAATGCACCCGTTACCTGCATCAGAATGGGCACATTTCATTCCACGAGCTCCATGTGCCACGTGAGATCGAAGAGCATAATGATCATTTCCGACCTTGAACTAACATGCCTTTGACGTGAACTTAGCTGCACCCATGATGTTCTTGGCACCATGGTATGATTGATATGATAGGCGTCATGGTAAGCCCAATATGACTGGTATCGTGGTATGATTGATCATGGTCAGTATTATGGTATGCCTCTGAAGTGCCAGTGTGTTTAACCCACTTTCCTTTGGCGCCCGTTACAAAGCCGCGCGACTAACATAACAGCTGCTGGAGTGCATTAAAATTAATTCAACACTTTCGCAATTTTTGATATATTGCGTGTGATATGCGAGCCCTAAGTTAAGTGTCAAGCATAAAACGAGATTGACCAGGTTTGCTCATCGCCGCATGAATTTGTCCAATCCGCCGATTAGATCCTGGAATATCAATAGTTTGTTTTTACCACTTCACTCCAAAGGAGGTTGCGGGAACCGAAACAATCCGGGTTGCCAATAAACTATCCGCTGGGTTTCTTACTATATGCCTATAAACTATAACTATTACTATAAACCTCGAACTCAAAATAAATGAAATCCAATGTGTCAAAAAAATTATATTTTGGTGAGCCTTAAGAATATTTTCAGTCGGAGTTAATAGCTATCCAAACGTCAACACAAATTTCAAAAACGATGTTTTAGCTTACACAGAGGGTACGTTTGCCGGAATATAGTATTTGCGGCATATAGTTGTGATGGAAGTTAGGAATGCACCATATGGTGTCAATTAAGATGCTTCAACTCAGAGAGGGTCTGAGGTCTTATTGAAGGATGTAGGTTAAGCTAGTGTCTCTAGATGGTCGTTAGATACCACTCAGCCCGTTTAAACGTTGTTATCGTGGTCACCACGGATTTTCATCCCAAAATCGTTCTCACGTGCGCTCACACAAAATCCGTGCGTCATCACGCCGCAGGGGGCGGCTGCTGCAAGCACCTTACTGATGACGAACCAGGCGTGCTTCCTGCAAGCACCTTTCTGATGACGAACCTGGCGTACTTCCTGCAAGCACCTTACTGATGACGAACCAGGCGTACTTCCTGCAAGCACCTTACTGATGACGAACCAGGCATACTTTCTGCCGTACAGCTTGTGCATGTTTCCGGCCTGGAGCACGAGCTTGACAGTATCGGGCCGGCCGATTACGAAGAAGTTGACCAGGTCTGCCTGCTTGAAGCGCGCCGTCTGCGCCAGCGCGGCGCTCTCGTTACCGGCAGGTAGGTGGCTGATGATGTGGCGGCATGGCACATTCTGCAGCAGCGACTTGTACTTGTAGTCCATTACTGCAGGACAGGCGGCAGCGGCGTCAGTGGGGCAGGCGGAGGGGAGGGGCGCGGATGCGTCCATCACTGCATGACAGACAGCAGTGTCCGAGAGAAAAGAGCGGATGCAGCTCATTATTGCAGGGTAGTCGGTCGGAGGCGCGTCGCCACCGGGAGCGCAGGCTGGTGGGTGATCACTGAACATGCCATGTTGTCCACTCTGTGATGCCTGGGAGTCTAGGACAGGTCTGATGTGCACCATGAGTAGCAGGGATGCGGCCAGATACCCACCCATGACCAGTAACAAAATGTCTTAACGATTTGATCTAAGGGAACTCTAGTCGTAGAATCTATATAACAAGTCTCAGTAAAACAGGACTCTATCGCGACTAAGACGAAGTCCCGTGGCTTTCTGAAGGCAGTCACCGCCCTGAACAAATGCGCGGGTCTTTTAAAGTGGTCACCTAAGGTGCGGTAGGAGGCTTTGTTACGACAGAATGTAGTTTGAAAAGGCCCTGTGCTGAAGACATTTGAGAAGATTGAAGGATATGGTGACGATGAGCGCTGATATTGTAAGGGTATCGTAGGACGTCGAAGTTGTTTGATTATGAACATTTAGTTATAGAGCGATGTTGGATCACCTGTGACTGAACAAAGAGACCGATAGCTCTGTATAATAGACATAAATTAATATCACCATTTTTGGAACTGCTAGGCAATATACACAAAGACAATGACAGATGTATTGTACTCAAATGCGATTACGAGAGTACTCGAGAAGATAATGCGCTGGGAGGTTCCTTCATCCAACTGTGTCATTTACGACGGGGCACACTATGCACTCCAAGACTGCAGCCTTCAACAAAACTCATTGTGGCATCGTGGCGCCGTCCCTGTGGGCGGCATCAGGTCTTGCATCGTGAGCACCCTAACCCAATCGTCGATCAGCGCTGTTCATCAGTTCTTGCATCATGAGTGCCCTAACCCAATCATTGATCAGCACTGTTCGTCAGCTCTTGCATCATGAGTACCCTAACCCAGTCATCGATCAGCGCTCTTCGTCAGTTCTTGCATCATGAGTACGCTGATGCAGCCATCGATCAGCGTTGTTGCAGTTTACATCCGGTACTGTCATGTCCGGCCGTCAGCTGACGAGACTGAAGAGTGGCTTGTGCATTCCCCATAGCGCCACGGCCCGGCGGCTCCGCGGAAATCAGTGAAGTTCTGCCCTTCATTGCGTTTTCGGTTAAACTCCAAATGCTAAGAAATCTAGTTCGTTGTTTCGGCTGCAGGTAGGCGAATATTTATTTGCCATGCACTGAGTCCTTTTGTCTGGAAAGACAGATTACAACACTGGGCTGCGGGAATAAAAAATGGGCTGAACGCCCAGGTTGTGTTTGTTGGAGTGGCTTCCTTGTTAACACTAAGAAAACTCAAGCTGTTTGCTCAGAGAACACAAACAAAAGCTCCATCGATTATCTACTGCAAGGCGAACTATGGTGACATCACGGCAACTATTCGCTGAGTATTCAGCTCGCATCACATATACTGGGACACGACATTGGTCATTATCATTCAAAGGCTGCACAGCCGAAATACGATCAACTTGACGTGTGCTCATTAATGCATAGCGGTTGACCTGATGTGTCAGCAATGTTGCAGGTGCTATCCAATCTACTGCTCGCATACATTACCTCCAGCAAGAGTATTGTTTGCAGGCGTATGTCTGGGCCCCACCATATTGCCCGACCACTTGAGGAAGTTGCTTTGTGCCACAGTCGAACTTGCCTTTCAGCAAACTATCTCGCATTCGTTATAGTGGTTTGTCCGATATAGTGTCCGAACATGAACCTACGGGTATGTGCATAAGCCATATGATATGCACCATCTTCAAAACACATAGCAGTTGTGATACCTTTGAATTGGTCGTGCACTGTGGCCAACCTTTAAGGCATCATATGAACTCTTTGAAGCTTCAAGTCGAACGCGAAGATAATATAGTTGAGATGCATTCCTAAGTTGTGAAAAGCAGAGGCACGCATATATTCACAAGCCATATATCCCATGGTATGTATGTTCATGGCAGTGTCCTGGATCGGGACACAGATTACCGGCCGCTATACAGCTTTGAAATGCAACTTATTTCTATTGTTTTGCTGAACAGGCTCCCGTATGTAATCTCCATTTCCTCCTGGCTACTTTCCGCTCCGCCCCCTCCCCCTCCCCAAACCCTACTCGTGCGCCTATGCCTATGCCTTATATTGATCAGAGGACAGAATGTAAGGATTCAAGGGACAAAACTGACACGGAACTATCATAAGTCCCAACGGAGGACGATGCCGTCGACATATTTAAATCATGTGCACAAATCACAATTTGTACTTGCACCTTGTGAAACGGTCGCTGCGTCATCACAATATCGCTAGGAAATCGCCATCCCTAGCACAATTTACAAATATTCCTTCACAAAAGTGCATCTACTGCATCGGCTCTCTCCGGCGGAAACATAGTGAAGTGTGCATTTGGGAAAGTCAGATGAGTGAACAATGACAATGACAATGCCGCTGCCTCCGCTTTGTGCATGTGTGATGTGTGTGATGTATGATGAATTTAGATGCTTTGCGCCTGAGATAGGGGTACGACGCAAACCACCTTACCACGATTATTGCATGGCTGTTGATTTCTTGGCAAGGTGACAAAGTATGGCATGGGAAAGGCCTGGCCCCGATCGAGGCAGGGTCCTTCAACTGTTTTGACCCAGAAGGTTCCATGCGCCGCTACCATCCGACAGCATGTCGCTTTATGGCGTTCATGGCAACGGTTGGGTCGATACATGAATGTCCGTATGGAACGAGTGACTGCGGCACCTGGGGGTCATGTTCCACAACGCTCGGCTAGCCGGCGATCGGGGTCAGCACGGACCGCCACCAGGCCGGTAACCGGGGTCAGTACGGACCAACGCCAGGCCGGTGATCGGGGTCAGCACGGACCAACACCAGGCCGGTGACCGGGGTCAGTACGGACCAACACCAGGCCGGTGATCGGGGTTAGCACGAATCAATACCAGGCCGGTGACTGGGTTCAGCACGAACTACGAGCCAACACCAGGCCGGTGATTGGGGTCAGCAGGGACCAATACCAGGCCGGTGACCGGGGTCCGTACGGACCAACACTAGGCCGGTGACCGGCGTCAGCACGGACTACGAGCCAACACCAGGCCGGTGATCAGGATCATAACGAACCAACAACAGGCCGGTGACCGGGGTCAGTACGGACCAACACCAGGCCGTTGATCAGGGTCAGCACAGACCAACACCAGACCGGTGACTGGGGTCAGCACGAACTACGAGCCAACACCAGGCCGGTGATCGGGGTCAGTACGGACTAACACCAGGCCGGTGATCGGGGTCAGCACGGACCAATACCAGGCCGGTGACCGGGGTCAGTACGGACAAACACCAGGTCGGTGACTGGGCTCAGTACGGACCGGCACACCCCTGACGGGTGCAAATCAAGCGGCATGGTAGCGATAAAAAATTAACAAGCTCGAAAGCGGCGGTGGTAAGTTGTTGATGTTATCCCACCATGTTAAACCACAGCGAGTAACGCAAAATGTTTAACCCAATAACAGCTTACAGCACAAACCGCCAACCATGAGTTATCTTTTAGAAACAATGTATGCTTAACAAGAGAGGCTTAACTGACCGAACGAGTCGTCAAAGATGATGCCGGCACTGGTGATGTTCTGGTCCATGACGATCTTGCGAATAACCTGGACGGCACTGTCTGCGGGCGGCAGGATCTGCACCAGGTACTTCTGCTCCTCCGTCGTCAGGTTTCGCCACTGCCTGCCAGCGTGTCGCAGTCGCGGCAGTTACCTCATGGGTCTCTGGTGTTTGAAATCCATTATTTAGCGACCTAAAGGGAACCCAAAGGGCTGTCGACCCCATTGCATTGAGATTAGCGGCAACGGCATGGCGCTCTCGTTTTAATGACAAGCTAGGAAGTAAAATCTGTAAAGGCAAAGCTGCATACAAGCAAGTAAAGATCCTTGCATGTCCATGGAAACAGGCCTTCCTCCATGGGAAAACGGAAATCACTTGGCATTGCGAAAAATAACGTTCTTAGAGAGGGAAGCATCGTTTTAATTTTTCTCATGAAGCCGGCGGGCCTCGCAGTGCCAAGTTTTGGAATACAACTGGGTCAGTTAATATCCCCCTTGTTTAGAGAATTCTTTCCTGCAAAGTTACCAGCAAACACTGTGAGCTATCAATTGTTGCTCAGAATGAAATCCACACGTTGGATGCAACGTGACATCATTTGCACAACTAGACACAACGGTGTACCATTTGCCCAAAATCCTGATAAGTTAGGCCTCAGACTGACCTGAGGTCACCAACGTCACCGTAGGAGCCGCTGACGGTGGGAATAGCCAGCGCCTTGGAGACAGACTTGGCTATCTCGGAGCTGGTGCCGCTCAGTGTGGTGTCAACAATTAGGTGAGGCCGCTTGCCGGCGTCTATAGCCGTTTTCACCTGGTCGCAAACTACAGAACAGAATGGTGTTGTCAGAGAACGGATGTGAACGGCCAGGTCACGTGGACCATAACAAGTGGAAAAACTGCAGATCTTAATCATGCGCTATTACACCTAAGTAAGGTTTTAACCTATTTTGATGAACGCGGCAATGGGTTGCCGTCAGCTTCAAAGCGTTTACCAGCTAGATCAAGTGCAAAAATTACCATAAAATACCAGGCCTGCGGCTTGAGATATTCATGCCCAGGATGTCAGTTCCTGAAAAGCCACATGCGTCCAAACTGGAGATTTTAAGCGTTGGTCTCATGGAACTAGCATAAAACTGATAGGACAGCATGAAATAGAGCAGCTCCCTTGGGCGGCTGTTCATTCCAAACATTTTTCTCTCTCGAATACACATCCGACGGCTTAAAAACCGAGCGTAGAACTTTTTACTTACTGTCCGTGGTTGCCAGGTATTCATCTTCCATGTTTTCAACCATGTACTTGTTCACACTTATGCCAATGTTCTGGTCAGCAATGTCACTTATTGCAGCATCGATAGCGCTTGGTGCCATGGTATTGTTTTTCTCATTGATAAACACTGCAAAAAACATGCCATTTTGGTGAATGCCAAACTCCTCGGCCGTGAGAGGTAATGGTTTCCACAAGTCACGAGCCTACACAAGACACTGTTTTACAGTTCTGCATCCATGTGGAGATCTGAATGCATGTAGAACATTGAAATCATGCCTAGGAAAATAAGGTACCAGCAAATGTAGTGCTAGCGAGAAGTAAATCCTTTACATTTTCGGCCATTAGCGTCCAAATTTCTGTTTGTGTTTAGCACATTGTCCATATGTCCTGTGACTACACGAAGTAAGATGTAAAAGCTAATGTCATGGATTTTTACAATGAGTTAATTAAAGTTTCGAACAGAACTGGAGGCAAAGAAAAGCTTAACAGATTTGGCTTAAAGAATGATCATGAGCTGGCATATCTTTGGCAAACCTTCTTCAGCTTAGAAAAAATCGAAGAGGAAGACGAGAAGGAAAAAAACCTAAAAAACTCAAAGCAGCTAAGTATCTCCGATACTAAGAACTTCCACCGCGAAGTATGTTTTTCCGCTAGTAGTAGCGAACGCAATAGTCTTGCGGCCCAACAAGAGCTGGAAGAATCTGATCCAACCCCTGATATTGATTTGCTCTTGCAGAGCTTGAACAAGAAGTATCTTGGAGGAAAGCTACCGCCCGTTTTGCTGCGATGGAGCAATCGTCTAACATACACAGCTGGATACACAAAATTTGACGGCAAAACGGCATGCATCGTGCTAAGCGCACCGCTGCTGTCCCTTCGCACTCGGAAGGACCTCATTGACACACTTCTTCACGAGATGATCCATGCGCTGCTCTTCTACAAGGGCAAGATGGACCACATCGACCACGGGCCGTCGTTCATCAGGTGGATGAAGAGGGTGAACGAGCGGGCGGGCACCAGAATCACGCCCTTCCACAACTACCATGAGGAGGTGGACTTCTTGCGCCAGCACTGGTGGCGCTGCGACGGTCCATGCACGCTGCAGGCGCCCTATTTTGGCCTAGTACGCCGTGCCCTGGACCGTGCACCCAGCGAACAGGACCGCTGGTGGGCACGGCACCAGCGCCAGTGCGGCGGCACCTTCAGCAAGATCAAGAGTCCGCCCAGGACTAGTGATTGCCGCAGGACTTGGACACGGCGCTTGCTCAAGAAGCGTGTGCCGCGGATCCGTTTCAAGAAGACGATGCAAGTGTACGCGATCCCTGCCAGGCAGCGGCGTCAGAGGCCAGGCGGACGAGGAAGGGGGAGAGGCGGACGGCAAAGGCACACTGGGTCACGCCGGTGAACCAGACAGCTGAACGGGCCTCTCGTCTCATCTGGGCAGGGTTATGTGAGCAGTGCTCTGCATTATTTGCAGTGTACGCTCACACCTGCCACCCGCGCATAACTTACGTTCAAGGCGCAGACTAGCCCACTCAAGCAGCCTCATCGCTCTGATTGATCCATGGTAAAATATTATAAATTACACTCACCATTACGTGGATATGTAAAAAGCCTATCAAATGCGGGTTTTCTATGTTCACTGCATCATAAATGATTGGAAATATTTACGATCAGACCCACATGCACGCAACTCAGCTATGTTCTATTTCGTGCCAAGCTGGTAAGTCCAAACCTAGCTGGGAACTGAAATGTTTTTGATGCGGTAATGATGAATATACTTTGCACGTTTCTACGCAAATTGAGCGCCATTTCTCTTAAAGAGCCGCTGGCAGGGATCGATGAAATAGTATGTTACACTGCAGGCTGAACCTTGCTAGCATATGAAAATCGATCGGATTTTCTGTCCCGCAGTTCCTAGCTATGAAAACGTCATTGAGCATTCTACGAAATGCAGTTTTTCAGCTTACCGTAACCATGCACACTGTACCTCGGCAGGGCTCAAGGCCTGTGCGAATTTCCTTGCTCTCAACTGTGTCCCTCGACTTTTCAGCCAGCAGCACACACACACACACACTCACACACACACACACACAGACACACACACACACACACACACACACACACACACACACACACACACACACACACACACACACACACACACACACACACACACACACACACACACACACACACACACACACACGCACGCACGCACACACGCACGCAAGCACACACACACACACACACACACACACACACACACACACACACAAGAAGATCTACATACATATGCATGTATATAAGCACTTGCAGCAATATTTGTAAATGATACGAAAAGATCTAAGTGTTCCATAAATTCAAGCACCTTTGGATCTTGTTTGTTTCATCACAAGCCGTTCGGTTTGGTAGTTGTTCGGTTTTTCAAATGCATACATGTACGCGTGAGCCCCTTACGCTCACGACAGAAGGGGAAGTGAAAAGTAAAGTTATCTCCCTAGCATTCAATGTGATTTGTGTATCTTACACCTTTTTAAAGCTGAGCGCGCCATATGCAGCAGTGACTAAAACTGATAAATTAATGTGTACTCTCGCAAGCATCTAGCTCATGGTCCTATCGCATGGTCGCATCGTTTCATGGTCGCATCTAGGCAGAGCTCAGAATGTGATTACTTTTGGTCGTAGATTGGTGACTGGCACTTGCCACTGTAATCAGCTGATCTCATTTCACAGGCGCTCGAGACGCTGTCCCCGGGTGGTGCGGCATGGCTTACCTTTTAACCAAACGCGGCGAAGCGGATATGTATGCACAGAGCACTGCCTTCGAGCGGGTCTCCTTCTGCTCTACGTGTCATATTCATAGCACGCGAAGAGAGAGGCATTCTTTCAGAGGGACACTCTCAACGTCACTAGGATACTGCTCTCTAGAAAAGGGTGCCTTGCTTTCCTGTCGGGTCGCACCAGTTCTTTTGTACGATCGGGCGCCTGTTTCTGACTAAAACGCGTCTATTTCTGACACGCCGTCTTTCACTATTACGGGGGCGTCGTTTGTTGCGTGTTGCGAGACGTTCTTTCGCCGGGATTAGAGGGCACTGCCCCTCACCCCGATCCCTGCATGGAATGTAGGCAAGGAGGGCGCTGTTCTATCCCGACAATCTGGGCATTGTATCAGAAAATAACACTTGGCGCAGTAAGTAAGCGAATAATTGACCTGTAAAACGGTACATTGACCGGTAATAAACCACCGCCGGTAACCATCACAATCTTGAATAAGCCCTCCAGCACGACAAAAGGTCAGGACTAGTATTTACATGCAAAAATGCCATCAGTTCTCAGAGCTAGGTAACCAAAGCACATGGAGACAAATACCACCATAATACATCATGTAGAATGACGTCTGTATCAAAAGGTATGTGTACAAGAAAGTTCTGTTTTTTCGGCATTCTGTGTTCATATGGTGGTAAAAGCTTAGCTTCAGTGTACCAGGAGGTGCGGTATGACGAACGGAAAGGGGTTAAAACAGAAGTGGCGGACATTTCAATGATGATTTGCCACTTTCTCATTATCAGTTCTCCTGGTACGTGACGGGTGCTACAAATACCGGTACCGGTACCAGCACATGCGTCAAATTTGTTAAGGCTCGCAAGGGGAATGCAAGTGCCCGGGGACTTTATGTGCATATGCCCTTAAATGGCGTCGCTATTCCAGACAGCGTAGACGGTCCCCACTTACGCAGGTTAACAGTAGCTGGGTGGGCACTGCGCGCTAGAGCCGTCAGCACCGTCGTCACGCGTACCCAGAGCGCCATTCTGGAAAGTAAGGTCGATTCCGTGTCAGAACACTAGCGGAATCTGCGAAAGCGCCCAACTGAACCGCCACAGTACCTTTCCAAACTACACGCGACCGGGGTATCGCCAGAAGCCGATGCGTACTGGAGCATCAACCCAGTCGCTGCTGGAGGCTACCCTCGGGACATTTTTGGCGCTACGGCCTTCGAGCTCCTAAGACAGCGATCTGTGTCCGATTCGGGACACCAACGCGTTGAGTACTTACATTACGTGGCGGGCCTGGCCGGGCGGGACCTCTCCTCGCGGTGAGCGGGGCCACGCCGGAGTGACGTGCCTTCTGCCGGCCAACCGATCGGGGGCGTGTCCTGCAGGCGACGACCAATCGCCGGACGCACGCGCTACTCAAAGGCCCGCCCAATCCAGCCACTGATAGCCCGTTCAACTGATGTTATTAGCTGATCGAGCACACCATGTAACTTTCACTGTTCAATGTGGTCGTCCAAAACACCCGCTCTGCTTTCAGCAGTTGACAATTGCTTGTTTTTTAGTTTTCAGAAAGCTATGCACGCCCACTCACGACGGTGTATGCGCGCATGTCTATATTTTCATTACAACAACTGTTTATGCAAATTTGCTGTGTAAATAAACTGAAATTGAAAATTGAACGCCTGTCATGTTTTTACAGACTCCAGCTGTGAGAGCAGCGCTCGAACGAGATGGCACTTGGCGATATTGTTCACTTGGCAAGCGCTGAAAAGTTGTGGTCCCCACAACTGCCAGGAAGAGAGCAACGCTGGGTTGGCGTCTTCGCAGTTTAGTAGTTATTATCCTACTGCAGTGCATGGGTTTAAAGCCCATCCTCACAGCTGAAAGGACATGCGCAAACATCCAGGCTGAGCAGTTCTAACATTTCATCGGGAGATACCGCCCTGTCAATGAGCACCACGTCCAACCGCAAAAAATTGCAGACGCATTTCTTACCTCATTTAGTGTTATGAACGAAGTGATATGAATAGCATAATAGTCAAGGTAGCCCCGGTAGAAGCATGAGGCCGTCTGCAGCGCGGCAGCTCAAGCGCCGCCCCTGCAGCTGAAGCACGGAGAGAAAGACGACGCATGCATAAAACACAGGCTAAGATATGACGCTTCATACAGAAGATAGGGAAGATATCGCACACTGTTTGTGAGGTACTTCGTTCGAACGCGTCGTATATACATTGTAGGTGCAATTTTTTAGCGGCCGCAAAATCGTCGCCTTAAAAATCGCCATCACGCAATTTGGCTGCGACAATTCGAGTGCAATCAAAGAGGTTGTGGTCTTATGTAGGTAGCAATCACGTTGTTGATGAAAATGCCTTGTCTCTAATGCAAGTCATTACGTCAACTATCCAGCTGATCCCATTTATACTTTACCATAACAATGATATAGACATTTCACAATGTCAATAATGTTAGCAGGTTTGGAATGCGGGCAGAAATTCACGTCCTGGAAGAGTTCAACGCTAGCCGGTCTGCACATACTACCAGCAGTCAGTGCGTGCGGCCTGGGTCTCATTATACCAGTAGCTATGAAAAAAGACCGTGAAAACGGAAGCTGTGACTTAAAAGTCCGTTTCATCCTCGACTCATTATCAAGAAGCCCATTCGCAGAACTCACCAAACCTCTTCGTAGAGCTCACCAAACCTATTCGTAGATCTCACCAAACTTATTCGTACAGCTCACCAAACCTATTTATAGAGCTCACCAAACCTATTCGTATAGGTCACCAAACCTATTGGCAGAGCTCACCAAACAGCACCTGACGTTCTCTGAGCAATGCTTGCATTTTCACGTGGACACCCTGAGATATGGCGAGCGTCACACATTTCGGCCGCGATTGAGCATCTAACGGTGATATCTCTGTACTCAGAGAGGAGGGACGGCGAGTATGGGTTAATTACTGTTGCATGGCCATGAGGAAATCGACTGCTGCCTGGTACCGCCAATGTGACGTCAGTGGTCGGCTGCCCTCGCTCGTCACGGAATTGCCAGTCACCTGCGTTGCGTGAGTCGCTGGAGACATGCAATTTTGTTCGGATGTTTTTTTGGGTGGAATACTTTCAGTCAGATTTCAAGGGAAAAATAAAAGACTAAATGCAAATTTAGCTTCTGCAAGTCAATAACTGTTTGGTTCAAACTTCTTCTGTCCCTTTATTTGTGATGGAACTCCTTTGCCAGCAGCAAGAGCTACTAGTGTGTGAACAGTAACCACTAATACCGATGTTCACTCTGCATCATTACAGATTACCTGTGCCGAGTGCCATTTACACAACAATAATTTTTTCTTACATTTCGGCTTCTGCACGGTTTTGTTTAAAGGTTGTGGGAAGGACAATGTTTCGTGATTCGGCGCGTCGTTCCTGCGATTTAACAAGAATCCAGCCATCCGAGCTACATGGGTCTATGCGTGTTTCAGACTTGAAGAGCGAAGGTGGGCACGGGTAGGATTTGCTCAGATCATTTTATAGATTTTATAGATTAAGATTATGACTCTTTGCATCTTCTGAAGTCCTTGCTCACTGCTCTTCTCATCATAAATGCTGCGACACCGGTGCGACATCCGGTGTGGTGTGTGCTGATGCACTTTCGTCGAAATATGCTATATTTGTGTTTCAGGGTCAAATGCAGATGATAAGACGCCTTTCCAGTACGCAATTTCTTGGAGTACTGCAGTGTTTCAACTACCTATGCCTATCGGGTAAATGCAGTAAAATACTTTAGAAGCTCTTTGTGGTACAATGGCCAGCCCGTGCAACTAGGTTACTACTATTAGTTAGGTATGAAGTATTGTACAGATAATATGGCTGCATGCCTTGTTGTTTTTTCTCTGTATGGATGCCAAGTCTGTTGAAACCAGCGCGCTGTGAACACTGACCATGGCTGTGTGTTTCACGTTTTTGGTCCTTATCACAATAAAGAGCATTGAGACGGAAAAATTGGGTATATTGAAAGTCAGCACCTGTTGAACTGTAAGCTACCCTAGCCCCTTGTGCTCTCTAATTTCATGGAAAGAAGCTCGCTAGCTGCTCTATTTTGGAAACATGTCTTGTTAAAATCTATGACTCCGCGCCCATCATTTGGTTATCGTGTCATTTATTGACAAATAATTTGATGCATTCCAACTTTTTTCACGCAAGCAGTCAAAAACAAAGGGATATTATCTGATGACAAATCTAAAATGCATGAAAAATAGGATAAGCGGCAGTGAAATGCCGTCGTTGTCAGGTTTAACGTCAGAGCTATCAAAAAAGCTGTAATTTTGTTTGCTCCAGAAGCATTCCTGTTTCGTCATCATATACCTAACCACCACTTAACGTTAATAATACTTTATGATATGGTTCCATGAGACTAAATACGCGAACGTAAAACGTCGTATTGGCGTGTGAAAACCAAGCAAAAGTGTTTTCTCAATGCACATTTCTAAATTTGTCAATGCCTGACGACTAACGATCTCTTTCACTCCAAGTTAATCCCATTTTTTGCGCATTTTAGAATCAGGTGGCCGTGAAATGCGGTGGGATAAGGTTAAACGTCACTCAAACAAATTCTAGCGTGAAAGGGGCTCTTAAACATCTAGAGCTCGGAAAACTGCTTATTTTGTATTTAATCCCCCCTCACTCTAAAAAATGTATTTGGTCCTATTTTTGCCTCCTGTGACAGCACACCCTGTCCTGACTCATTTGCTCTTCGTCACTTTTCCAGATTGATTGCGTGTATCGTACTGCTGTCTCCTTTCACGGTGCGCAGCTGTCCAGCTACTGGGTGCTGGTCTGCAGTCTCTTGCTACCGTCGGCGCTCGATGCGGGTGGTACGTTGCGAGCGACCGTCGGCCGGCGCAGGGCATTTTTTTTTTGCAGGTTATGCAAAACGGCTATTAACACCAGTGAAATATCGTCATGCCAAGGTAATGCGGGCTCGAAAATCTTATCAATTCAATCCGTTTTGGTTGTCCAAGCTTCATTTGTTGGGACTCTGACAATCATTTTCGTGACAAATGCAATGATAATAGTTTTGGATCAGTTTCTTCCGTAGTTTTCCAGCCCGTCACTTAGGCATTGGTGTATGTTTCAACGTTGGAGTATGTTTGAACATGCTATGTGCGTTTTGCTAAACTTTGCTGAACGTCGTGGTTACGCCGTGTCATGCGGCAAAGTGGATTCGCCAGTGGGGCGTAAGTATTAACTGTGACTCTCTCACGGAAGCCCAGGAACGATGCAGTCTGATTGTATCTGGAAACATGGTTCGTAGACAAAAATTCGAGCGCAGGAAAGCCGAACTGAAGATAGTCAAACGAAACAGCTCGAAGAAAAATAGTCGAAAACAAGAAACATCCACCGTGATTGAAGTCGTACCCAAAAAATTCGAAGGACAACAAATAAAAAACAAATACGCAAAATCGCCAAAAAAACAAAAACAAATACGCCGAATCGCCAAAAGTTGAAGGACCAAAAGTCGAATGAATAAAGTCGACAGGAAACAAAAACAGACCTGGAAAAAAGAAATGCCAGAGTCGAAGGAGACAAAAGCTGACAAGTCCAGCTGCCGAATCAGAACAAAGTCGAAAGGAACAAAGGCCGGCAGTTGTATAATATCGTAAAGCACTTTAGCGAACACAAATTTGACAGACATGTAACTTGAATGAAAAACGTGTGAGAAGACAAAAGTGGGTGGGATAAAAGACAAATTGAAAAACGGTAATGGCCAAATATTCGAAAGGGATTTGCACCGCTTGAATAACAGTAAGCAAATACCTAGTTAAACCCAGGCTCGTGGTATCCGTGTCCGCAGCATTTTGGAACGCTTGAAACTTTACGCTGTTCTGTGTGGTGAAAGGAGGCAAAATTATCCGTGGAACAGGTCCACACAGATTGAGTGGTGGGTTTAGGGCATGCTCAACACGCTATTCTTAGCAGGTACCTTGAACACAAAGCCATCAATGCGAAACACTCGGAATAAATCCTTTAAAAATTGTAGATTTAAGACAGGATAGTATCATTGACATAACGTATGGTATAAAAACCGATGTTGCTGACTGCACTTAGATGCGTTTGTGGCTTCACTGGGCTTTGTTTCCTTGCATCTCAGGGTTCTCTTATTTGGGCTCTCCCTCCATCATCCGGGAAACGCTGCTGGAAAGACGCCGGCGTTCGAGCCGTTCTGACAAAACGTGCGGAACGCGCCTAAAGGCTACTAGGTGACCGATATGCCATGGGTGCCCTGCTAGCCTCTATTTATAGACTTCTAGCCATTTCTGGGACGGTCGCGAGCAACGCAGGCACCTACGGCAGAAGACGGAGCGCAGCGGTGATGCCCGTCGCGAATCCTGTGATTTTGTTGTTGCTAGTTCCGGTGCCAGACAGCCATGTGCCTGGTGCCCGATGTTGGTTTTGTTGTTGCTAGTTCCGGTGCCAGACAGCCACGTGCCTGGTGCCCGGTGTTGGTTTTGTTCTTGATAGTCCCGGTGCTAGACAGACACGTGCCTGGCGCCCGATGTTGGTTCGTCGTTCCTTCTTCTCCCTTCTGAAAACGATATTCTAGATTGTTGGCTCTGGCCGGTTGTTTCGTAAGT